GTTGTTGGCTGAATGTCCACCTACCCTAAGAGAATGAAAGCTCCAAAATTGTATTTGAAATTTCCCCAAAAAAAGTTTGAGGCCATTTATGTTCTAAAATGAAGACCAGAGCCTTAAGTAGAATAGGTGCCAACAAATGTTTGTTAACTGTACTCATGGAGGGAATAGGATGGAAAGTTATACAAATGCTGACAGTACTATGTCCAGAAGGCAAAACAAGAAATTTAGAAGTATTATAGTTTTTATAAACCTTTTATTTAAAAAATAAAATTATACACAAAATACAGAAAAATATTGACACCTGTGATAACAAGGAAATTATTCCTAATCTTTTGGGCAGTTTATCGTGAAAGAGCAAAATTAGGAGTTTTATAAAGAAATTTTATTGTTCAAAGGAGGAATGTGATTGTTAAGGTTCATTTACAATAGGTATTTGGCATTGACAGAAAAAGTATTTCTAGGTATGCATTCAACCGTTTGCAGCATATTTACATTCAAGTTACATTTCCAAATTCTATGCCACATACAGCTAAATCACTATTGAGAAATCTCTCAGACATTACTAGTATTCTGTTTATTTGGTAGGAGTGCAATTGAGTTTTACTAGAAAATTATTTTATTTTCCCACTAGATCAACGTATTTTAACTATTATCAAAATTCATTGATCTGTTCCTCCCAATTAAAGCCAGGAACCTTCTAGAAAAATTAAATATTAACTAAAATTTGACCAGTAAAGAAATTATATAGCAATTTTTACCCCCCTCTCTTCCTCCCAAGACATTATTAAAACTCACAATAAAAAGATACCAGTTCTGATAAATTACTTTTCCTTTACAGTAGTAAGGACATATTATGCATAAAACTTCAAGATTTTAGATTCCTTTCAAAAGATGGTTGAATTATTTTTAATTTTCAGTTGGTACCAATCTCATCCAAAGAAATTAAGAAACCTATGTAGTATTCTTGAAAGTTTTCTCCACACATTCCTCAAATTAGGTTATTTACTAACAAACTGAATCTCTTGCTTAACTTTTCAAAATTACAATAGGGAAGCTAGTCTACCTTCCTTATAATCTTTCTTTTTCACCATCTAAATTATGATTGTATTAAAATCAGCATATATTATAAGCAGCTTTCATCTTTGTGAAGCCCAATGCTCTGAGTTGATTTTATGGAAGGATCAAGATTTCCTAGGCAAACCGAAGAAAAGATGCAAACATCTCCTGCCTCGCCTCTAAGTGATTCCAAACAAATCAAATTTTCTCGTGCTGTATCAAGTCTTTCTGAAGTACCTCAAATGCAGTTCAAGTTTTTAAGTCTAGGAAGACAGTCATGACCAAACCATGGAAGCAGCTGAGTTTCCCTTTAGCGGAGCTCTTCCTTCCTAATTTCCTTCAGGTTGTGACTTCCCCTCCAGGACACGCAGGCTGGCAGTTGGCAGTCGGGTGCTGAGTTGGGACCACTTCTGACTCAGATTCACGCACAAAAACCACTGCATCACCACTCACATTTATAAGACACTGTGCCTGGTTTTTATTTGGATTCTCCATGAAGACACACTGCTTCATTATGTAGGAGACAACAGCATTCCCTCCTAATGCAGCGACATGAGCTCTCACCATTGCAAACACTTCGGCAATGAAGGCATGGAGAAAGCCACTGACACCTCCTTCCTCACGAAGAGAAGTGGTTTCTCGAATAAAAAACATGTTAATTATTCCAAGGTATTTAGTTATTTTTGCTCCAGGAATGAAAGAAAGCGGCGTCATCTTAACAACTCCCACTGTAGAATTGGCACAAGATGGACCTGCTCGATTCCGGAAATTTCCTTCCCCCATTGGGCTTGCCTTTTCCACTGTCACAGCTTTCACTGGTGGGAAAGGATGAGGAGGAAGTGAATCTGAACAGAGTTCCAAGGGAAACTGCAGGAGTTCTTCATTGTCTGTAGAAGCTCTTTGCAAAGACTTTTCAACGTGGGTTTTTGTGGTCTGTAAAGCTTGATTTTTATCAAAAGTTATTGCCACTGCTGTGACTGTAACCTGAATTAATTCATCTTCAGGGAGAGAAACTGTAAAATTTACATGGCAAAGGCAGCAGGGGATCATAGATCGTAGTTTAAAATAGAGGCTCTTGAGCAAATTTTCACAGAGATCATTAAAGTTCTTGTTAAGAGCTTGATTCGTCAGGTTTGGAACAGAGGCTAGAAGAAAATTTGCCTGCAGGCTGTGGATTTTGCCATATCCCATATGATGAACTAAATATGCCTTTTCCAGCACATCTGACATATTGCTATAACTGCAGGAAACAAAAAGTTCCTGATGTTCTCTTTACA